GCCTCTGGTACTTCCTCTGCCGCCTGCGCCGCAACCTGCTGCGCAACCCGCGGGCCGAAGGTGCGTGCGGGCCCCGGCCCCTCCCCCCGGGTCTCGCGGCGGGCGGCCCCCGGCCTCACGCTGCGTCCGCTCCTTCCCTTTCCCTAGAGAAGTTCAAGCACTGGCGGCTCGATTCCAACGAGGGAGACAAGTGGAAGGTGGAGTACCTGCCGGGGACCCACGGGACCCGCTTTCCCGGCCCGGATGCGCGCAAGTACTTCGTCACGTCCTACGGGTGAGAGCTGGGGTCGCGTGGGCTGAAGCTGTGGGTGGAGGGAGAGGGTTCGCGGGGCCCTGCTGGGAAACCAGCAGTGGCCGGGGCTATAAATAGGAGGAATTTGTCACTCAGGCTGGCTCTTCTATGGAGGTGAAGATGGGAAGGATGGTGGTGCTGAGGCACCTGCTCAAGGGCAGCAAATGGCAAGAAACTGGGGAAAGCCAGGCGCCTCCTGGAGATGGGGAACTCCCTCCAAGTTTGGACTTTCCTGTCTCTAATGAGCAGCTGGTAGATTATAATCTAGGTGTAAACTTCCCCTCCACTTTTTGTCTCAATCCAATAGGGAGTGTGTAGTGTTCACACCTCCTTCCAGCACCATGCAGTTGCAGGTCAGTAGGGCACCCTGCCCCCGCGCAGGGAGTGGCATATGCCATATGATATCCTTTGTATCCTAGGCTGTGCCTGAAGTCCCAGATCATTGACTTGAAGAAAGAAGGATACTGGGAAGAGTTGATGGATAAGTGCCGGCCTGACATCACCGTCTCAGACTGGCAAGTACAGACATAAAAGCCAGAGTCTTTGTGTGGGGTATGGTGTGGATGCCAGCTGGGACTCTGGCACGCTGAGAATGGTGACCCTCAGCCTCTTAAAGCTGATGAGCTTAATGAAAGCCTGAGTCAGACTTGAGGTTTGTTGCTGTATCTGGAAAGCACCGTGCCCTAGTGCTTGGAAGACAATGGCTGAACTCCAGATTGTCTACCCCACCGTGCCTGAGGGGATGATGCCCTTCTCACTGAGATCCTCCAACAACAGGGGCTGAGTAAAGCATCGGCACTTTGGCGTTACTGGAGAGCTGGAGGTACCATTATAGGCAGTTAGTGCTTGCTGGCTTTCACTCCCAAAGGCCATTAGCAAGCCCCTGTAAAGACTATCAGTCTTTGCCATGGTGATAGCAGCAGTGACCTGTCTCTAGCCACATGCTGCCCAGCGGGTGCCATTGCAGAGCCTGATTTCTCGCTGGCTCCCTAGGTACGCTGCCAGGTTTGATTGCGGGTGCCGGTACCAGCTCCAGGTGCAGCTGCTCTCTGCAGACCACCTTGTCCTCGAAGAGTTCTGTCCTGAGCCGGTGATCATAGACCAGTGGAGTGATGCGAAGTGGAAGGAGGTGAGAGATGTGGGCAGTAGCTGTAGGGGTGGTAGCTTTAGCTCTGTTTTGGGTTTAACATGCAGCTTGGATCTGACTGGTGACTGGGTAACTGCAATTCCTTTTCCCCTTAGCACATAGTCGCACATTGGCTTCCTCTAGCTCAAGCCTGCTTGCCTGAAAGAGACCCCAAAATAAAACTGGATGGGAGAAAATGTCCGAGTGGGACCTTTAAACTTTCTGCAAACCTTTTCTTTTTCTTTTCTTTTGAAGCATCAGCACAGCAACATCCTAAACCTGGCTCAAGTGTAGTATGAGATTCCATCTCTCCAGCAAGAGGGTTGTATCTAAACCAGTGCTGTTGCAATGATGCCAGAAGCTGTGTGCATGCTATTCCAGTTCATCTTAATCCTCCTCTTCCTCGAGCTGAGCTGAGCTGCTTTTAAACTGGGATGAGAAAACCCACATAGCCCCTCTTATCCTTTCAGCTTAATTTTCACTTGTGCCACTTTTTTGTAACATGGATGCCAGAAGTAAGGAACCCCTGGCCTTGTTGGTAGGAGGATTACCCCTAATTTGGCAGGTTCCCATGCCTGCAGGAGGGGTTTGCACCTATGCAGGTGGGTGGTCAAGTTTTACCAAACTCTGGGCTAAGTCTTGGCATAGACAACACTGTGGTCAGATGAAGCATTTCTTCAAAAAATATGTGCTCGCCTGTCCCTGACCTCAAATGGCTAAAACCTGAACATGTTTTTTGGGGGGCTTTTATTTTTTAAGTCTTCCTGTTCTGCTCAGTTCCTCTTCTAGTCAATTCCCTCTTTATTCAGTATGGAACGTAAGACCAGTTTAGTCACTTTTCATGCTGTAGCACCACTGTTTTGTTTGGGTTTCAAAATGTAGAGTTTAGAAATCCAGAAATTTTGAATGTAAAAAACAAGCTATTGCATGGGTTTAGTTTTAGAAGAGGAGGAAGAAGAGTAGTGGTGGTGGTGGTGATGATGATAATAGTGTTATAATTGGGGATCCTGGCTTTCTCCGATTTTAAAAAATCCCCAAATTTCAGTTAAAAAAAATAACCCCAATTTCACATTTTTCCATGATTTAAAATGAAACACCACTAGATAAATACATCTCTCTCTCTCTCTCCCTCTCTCATATATATATTAGTGGCGTTTCATTTAAATCGCAGAAAAATGTGGAGTTGGGTTACTATTTTTTTTAACTGAAAATTGGGGATTTTTTCTTGAAGTGGAGAAAACCAAGCTCTCTGGTTATAATGCAAAGGGCCTTCTCTCTATGCACCACCAAAAGTCTATAAAAGGCTGATTCGTAGTATGACTGGTCAGAAACCCAGGGCCCTGACAATGGCTAAGATTTACAGAAAGGCCTGAACAAGTTTGCAGGGTGTATGTGGTGGGAGTAGCTTGATTTTTTTCCTACCCCTGCTCCTTCTTGCCAGATGCACACCCCCAAACCACCACAGAGATTTGATCAAGTTTTACTAGCACAGGGCCAGCAGGAAGAAATATGTTGTTCTAAAACAAGCTGGAGGCTGACCACGTAGGAGTGGCCAAGCTGGGGATTTCCAGTAAATGGGAAGGGCCTGCTAGTCATTTGAGGCTTAGCAGACCGGCGCTAATTGGTTGCTGCTCTGACGGGAAGGATGGCAGCCCACACCACACTCTGTGCTAGAGGACTCTTCACACTCTGCAGGTAGTGCAGCATCCACACAGCTTTTGTGCTGCTGGGAGGCTCATGTTGCTGGTCTGGGAACCAGCTGAGTTTCCCAGTTTGGCTGGCAGGAGTTGTGGGCTGTGGCAGGGCTCCAGGCTGATTGCAGATGCAAGCAGAGCTGTGACTAACACAAGGAAGTGGGCAGATCTGAACAGGATGCGGTTCAACAAGGA